ATGTTGCTCAGCTTGTTCGCTTTGCATGCGAACCAGCATTATCTCCAGGAGCTAAGCTCCAATCAGGTTGTGGTATTTTTTTAATTCTTAGAAAAAAAATAACAACTTTCGTATCACAAACTCAAGGCCATTTGTTAGTAAGAATAACATTAAAAGTATATATTTCATTTTAAACTTGCCTGAGATGGCCAAACCATTAAAACTCCTCGTGAACTAATTTCGAAAAAATTTCATAAAAACTCGAGCGAGTTTTTTTTTTACTCACTCGAATTTTGGCCTGATTTTTTCGATCCAAAGTTCAAATATTTTCATCAAATTAGAGGGCAATTTTGTATTTTCACTTTTACTGACCTGTCAGAAAAAAAATCTTTTTAGGTTAGAGAAGTATATTTTCAAATAGCAGGTTAATTGAGCACATTGGATTTCCAATTACGTTAAATTGGTCAATTTCCCAATCTATCTACGGTTAGATGCACACTTGCTGAATGTTAGTAGAGCAATTTAATTAGTTACTGTTTATGGTTAGAGTTTGTTATTTACAGTTTTAGTTGTAATTATGCTATAAATAGCACGTAAGCTTTGTTATCTTTTTAATGAGAAGAGCTCTTTCACAAATGTGAAAGATTATTACACTGAAGTTGCCATAGCCTCTGCAACATCAACTTCGTCACTTTTCCAAGGTACTTTGTTGCTGAAGCTATAACTTATCCATTGTGATTCCTGATAATAAAATCCAAACCTGTTTAAGAAAAATTAATTCCTTTGTTATTTTCTCTTATCATTTTGTTTTCTCTATTTCAATGAGTAGCTAACTTACGTTTTCAACCCTCCTACAAATGTCTTAATTTCTTTCTTTTTTTTTATTAAATTACACTTATCAGTAAGCACGACATTTACGTTCCTCTTCCTTATCTTGGTTGATATAATTCATCTAGTTGACTTATTAATTGTTGGCCACTCGTTTAAACCACTTTAGTTTGAATTTAATTCAGAAAAGTTTCGGGTCAAACGAAGTTCGTCGAGATAAGACGGGAAGTTACTTAGAAATAAGAACTAAAGCTAGAATCTATACATAGACTTTTTTACCCGTTAAACGAAAGTTGGAGTTTTCATTATTTAGAATTATAGTGTTTCATAGACATATGTAAATGCGAGCCTAAGCTTCTAGACAAACCAAAAGCAGTATGGAATATGAGTGAAACAATTTTGCATAAAATGCAAGCCTAAGCTTCTAGACAAACCACTCACCAAACAATGACCACCTCAACAATGATAGGCAATATTTATTGGCACCATTAACTGACTGATTTTATTCAATTATTAGCGGAAGATATGGCCATGGAGAATAATCTTCCCCAAATCAATTTTCAAACGATTGCCTGGATTGTTGCAGCACATTTTCCTTATTATCTATAATCTTTTCATTTATATTTTACCATTGCTATTCTCTCCTCAGTGAGAATCATGTATAAGTGTGTATAAGGTCAATATGTATAACATTTATCTTATTTTATTCTGTTAGCTAGGTGTTTATTTAGCAATTGTATTGGTTTAGCTTCTGTAATATGAAATTCAATCCATAAGTGTGGAATTTTACAGATCTTTCTTCCTTGTGCTTTGCATGCTAAACCTCTTAGCAGGTTTGACTTTTTAAATTTTGCTTTCCTCGTATTTTTAAATTGTGTTCCCAATCATTTTAACTATTTTTCTTCTAAATTCAATTGCTCATACAATCAGTTTGCAAATTTTATTGAAAAGAAACTAGTCCCTGTGAAATGAACTCGGTGTACTTCCATAATTATTAATTGTGCTTGCACTCTACCCTCGAGCTATTAAGCAAAGGTGAAACATAGAGACACCAATGATGAGGCATATCTGAAGTGGATACCTTAAATGAAAGGTGGAGAATGCTTACAGTGTGGCAAATTTAATTTAAAGTTGAAACACAAAGATGAGTCAAACGTGGAGACGGCAACAATAAGATTGAAACATCGAAGGGATGAAAAGATTTGCTGACGATGGAAACTAGAGAAACAGAGACAGACAGAAGATGAGAGGAATGAGGTTCAGGATGCGACAGAAACTAAACGTATATATATATTTTTTAATTATTCTATAAATGTCGGTACGGTTCGGGTTGAAACAAAAAAACTTCTACTT